CACACACACACACACACACACACACACACACACACACACCACAAACCCTAGCTTCTCAAGCAAAACCAAGAGGGAAGGACCAAAGATTCTGCTCTGACACCCGTGTTTGCCCCTCCCCTGCAGGCCAGCCCCTCCCAGCAGGATGGATACCATTTACTTTCTAGGAGGGGCTGATAGACGCCTGCCCTGTTTGTTTTGTGGGCTGAAGACTTAACCAGAACTAGTCACAGGGCTAGCTCCCCTGGCATGCCTGTTGTTGAGGCTCTCATCTCCTCCCTGCTGGGTAGTAAGGGAGAACTCCTGACCAGAGGCCATCCCAGCAGCCAGGAAAGCCCGGGCTCTCTCGGTGTCAACTTTCCTACTTACAAGGGACTCATTGGGGCAAGCCACTCACCCATTAGAACCTCTGTTCTGACACACAGGCAACAGAATCTACCGCTCAGGGTCATGAATGATGCATGTCAAGTAACACATGTCAGAAAGCTCATTAAATATGTCTTATGTGTAAATTTCATAAGGTCCCAGAGGGAAGGGACCATCTCTTAGTCAACCTGGTGTCCCCAAGACTTAATTTCAAGGACCAGGAAAAGATCCAGAGCCTTTTAAATCTCCCATCCATACACATACATATTATCAATTTGATTGAATAAACAAGTATTCCTTTTAAGTTCTCAGGATGGGAGGAGAAGATTGTGTGTGTGTGTGTGTGTGTGTGTGTGTGTGTGTGTGTGTGTGCCAGAGGTCAACTTTGTGTGTCTTCCTCAGTCATTCATCAGCTTGACTTTTGAAACAACATCTCCTATTGGTCTGAACCTTACTGATTGAGAAAGGCTGGCTCAGCCAGCCCTGGGGATCTGCCTGTCTCTGCCACCTCAGGACTGGAATTGCACACCACTCTACTGGCTTTTTCAAGTGGGTTCTTATGATCAAACTCAGGTCCTCCTGCATGTATGACAGAGCCATCATCCTAGACTTCCTATTAAGCTTTAAGCCTTGTAGCCACTGAAAACACACTGCACCCCCTTCCCATCTAAGGGTAACTCTTAGTCATGACCACCAACATCTCAGTATGAATGAGTGTCCATTGCTTTCTCTCTGAGACTGAGTTTTACTCAGAGCAAAGAATGACTTGAGGTGGGGTGTGGGGCTACAGTGCAGCTATGGTGGATGATACCTCAAGATGTGTGAAGATGGATTATACCCATTGCACCATTTGGGTCTAGAAATGGTCCAGAATGCCAACCTTTGACTGGATGTTATCCAAGCCACTAGGCGGATGTCTCCAGGCGACCACCCCAGCCAGACCTGTCCACTTGGAAACCACAGATGCAGTGTGATTTCATCAATGCTGAGTGTCTACCCAGTGCAAGCCTTGGTCCTCACTTGGCAGAAGGAATGACCCGTTCAAGCACAGAAGGCCAGGCAGCCTAGACTGAGCTCACAAAGCAGCTGCTTCCCAGCAGGCTCCCTGAGGCTCTGGGCAAGCTGACTGACAGGCATTCTATGCAGACAGAGCCTTCTTAAAAGGACCTAGTCCCACTTGGTTTAGGCACTACTGTTGCCATCTTGAAATCCCTCTTAAGGTCTTAACAATGGCTCTACATTTTCACCCACACACCCCCCGCCTTACAAATTTGGCATCTAGCCTTTGCCATGCATAAATTGTATTCTCTCTGTGTCTCTGTCATCTTGTCGGGAAAACTGGGGTAACGATTCCTGCTGGTAATGAGATAATGTATAGAAAGCCCCCTCCCATCTTACTTTGAGAATCCTGACTTTTACTTTGAAAAATGTCCTTGATCCTCCTCCAGGGCTATGTGAGGTCAGTTTGGTGACCCGTACCATGCCCGTTTGATAATGGGAGACTCCTGAGCCACTTATCCAGTGAAAACAAAGGCAAAAACTGAGCTTGAACCTGTCGCCACTGTCTCAGATGGACCATGGCGCTCCATGGCGCAGCAGGTATGTACCCCACCCCTGTTTGTCGATGATGTTGGGCCTTGGGGTGATTTCCCTGAGGCCCACACCTGTGTTTGGAAGAACCTGAGAGTCAGCAGGCAAATTACTGCACCCCACACCACAGACAGCCACATTCTCAAGTAAGGAGAGTCCCGTCTGTGAGGCCCTTTGGCCTGGGTAGTGGGCAGCGCCCACCTCACACCTCACCTTGTGCACCCTTGTTGGTGAGGATCAACCCCTTCTCTGCTTTATTTTTCTTCTTCTTTTTCAGCTTCAGCCCAAACATTCCTTTCCTGCAAAGAAAAAACAAAAAACACCTCATCAATCCAATCATGGAAATGAATCATCACCCCTGCTGGGAAGAAGCAAGCACACAGAGATGGTACATCCTCCTGGCTGGCCAGCCCCCTCGTCTACCCAGGGTGGGAGTCAAACGAAGGTGTTGGGAGAGCCTCACCAGTCCCCCAGGTTCTCCTTCTTGTCTAGAAACTACCGCACATGATGGGAGACAGGCTGGGGGTTGTGATCGTGCTAGCCTGGAACCTCTAATGTCTTCAGGCTTGCCCATGCCAGGTGCTAGGATCGACTCTTAAAGAATGACATCCTTTGCTAATGACAGCAATTGTCTCCTCTCCAAATTACCGATGAGAAACCAGAGAGGGTGGCAACAGTTTCTCAGGCCACACAGCTCCTGGAAATCTGCTTAGTCTCACAAGCCACTATGACCACCGAGAAACCTGAACCTCCCAATCCGCTTGGCAACCATCCCTTGAGCTGGCTCTCACACTGCTTCTAAGGCCGAGAGGCTCCGGTACCTGCTCAGGCCATGCTGTCAGCACACTGCTCAACTGGTCCATGGTGTGTGCCCCCAAATGTGAGCACAGTGGAGGACTTCGATTGCCTTTCATTTCACACAGGTTGCTTGGGGCTGCAGAGTGACCCCGGAACAGGGTCCCCACCCCACTACCCTCTCCCCCAAATGCACACTTCCTGGACCCTGGGCCTGTGCTTCTCAATGTGGGACTGTTGAGGTGGTGAGTTTCACGGTCAAGGTCACCTACTCCATAGTCAGCCTGCCCGTCTCTCATCTCAGCAGCGTCTTCACAACCTAGAACAGCCCCTGATCTCTCCAACTTCAAGATCCCCATATGGGTCACAATGTAATAAATGGAAAGAAACTGTCATGATATACAATAAGTTGCTCAATAAGCCTTTGTTATTATTAGTTATTATTATTGTTGTTGTCTTTCTAAGGGATAGTATTAAGACTATCAAACAGAAGAAGCAAATGTCCATTTTATTGATTTACTTATTTCTCAGGCTTTTGTCTTTCTTTGACTTAGATGAAGAATTAAAGCATCTGCTCACTAATGCTGAGCAATAGAGGGAGAGGAGAGTTCGCTTCCCCGAAGGTCTACAAGCCAAGGATGCTGTAAAGGATGGTGTATTGAGGACAAGCATCACAAACTCTGACCTAGGAGATTTGGGGGTTGTTGAGACTGAGATGCAAAGAATGGGCTTCGGTAGCACCCAGACATGGACTGGACTCCTCTCTCCGCGGGGAAGTCACAGGACCTCTCAGAGCCCCACGTCCCGCATTTGTGTAGTGGAGATATACTGGAGTACCTGCGGCATGGCCCAAGTGGGAATGAATAAAATGTAGCGAAGTAGACAGAGGGCTTCAGCTGTGCCTGGTACACAGGATGTGGCACATGAGTGCCCTCTGGGAGGGAGTGTCCTTGCCCTAAATCCTCTTAGGATTGCTCCAGAGAGCAAATACATGGGGGACTCCCCTTTCTGAATTTTAAGAGAGCACTCTTGGTAATAGCTTTTATTAGCCTTTTTCCAAAGGGTAGCTACCAAGCCGGGGACCCACGCCTGGCACTTTCCAGATCCTGAAACCAAGAGCTCATGGCCATGATTGGTTCATGAAGACAGAACCTCATATCCCCAGGAACTTGGCCAGTGTCTGCTGGCTGCTTGTCAAGGCTGAGCTATTTCCATCTGCTAAAGGGAAATTGCTACTAGTCAATGATAGTGGTGCTGGGAGGAGCCCCAGCGCACACAACATGAATGGCCTGGCATCCTGGCTTCTCCCAGAGACGCCCGTGGCTAAGCTATTGGGGCACAGCTGAGAAGAGGCTACCAAGGCAGAGGAGGAGAGAGGTCCCCATCCTTTGACACAGGAACCTCTTCCCTTTTGAAACAAAGAGCGCTTGACCCTGATGTCTACCGGAGCCTCCTAAGGGTTTGGGTCTTTAAAAAATATTGATGCTTAAGCCGGGCGGTGGTGGCGCACGCCTTTAATCCCAGCACTCGGGAGGCAGAGCCAGGTGGATCTCTGTGAGTTCGAGGCCAGCCTGGGCTACCAAGTGAGTTCCAGGAAAGGCGCAAAGCTACACAGAGAAACCCTGTCTCGAAAAACCAAAAAAAAAAAAAAAAAAAAAAAAATATTGATGCCTTGAACTACCTGTAGAAAGTTTTACTAAATCCAGGGCAGGGCTGGAATTCAAAACCTCTTGTCTACAGCTCAAATCCCTGCAGATTAACTGAAGAAACCTTTCAGGAATGCCCCAAGCCTTTCAGTCAGTTTGCTCCACCACTGGCGTGATGATGTCAGTTTGATGAGCACACAGGGTATCAGTTGTCCAGGGTGCTCCTGGTATGAGAGAGTTTCTCTCAGGGTACTCCTGGTATGAGAGAGTTTCTCTCAGGGCGCTCCTGGTGTGAGAGAGTTTCTCTCAGGGTGCTCCTGGTGTGAGAGAGTTTCTCTCAGGGTGCTCCTGGTGTGAGAGAGTTTCTCTCTGAAAACCGATTTCTCCCCCACCACCCTGTGCCATGCAGGGCCAGAGAGGAAGTGTAGCATGCGGGTCTCCACTGGCCATGGCACTGGAGGACCAGACCAGGGCAGAAGAAGCAGAATCGGTGCTGAAGATGAAGCCTCAGGGGCAGCTGCGTGACTCTGGCTCTAGAGTTGGGGACTGGGTTCTTAGATGAGCTTTTATCCCCCAAATGACACAAAGACATTTCTTAATTAAAAATGACATCAAAATAGGAGGTATTTGTAAAGTGTAAGGCTTGCTACAAATCACTATAGTATCAATGAAAAGGTAATAGAAATCTTAATTTTTGCACCTATAATAAGCCATGTGATGGAAATACCATTTTACATGTGATCGCCTAGGATCCCCACAACATATTGTGGTGTGAGGACTACTGTTACCATTTCTCATAAAGTAGAATTGGGACTTCTAGCCAATACATGGGAACCAACTACCAAATCAGGAAGACTGATAAGGTAAATCTCCATCATTTCTTCCCGCACACCTGCCCTCTCCTGCTTGGGGATTATTCTAACATGAAACTCCAAGAAGATGAGGCTTTCCAGAGCAGGATCTATGATATCTCCTCCCAGGCCACCCCAGGGAAAGTTAAGAGACATACAGACACACCCATACCAACCTGGTCTCCTCGGGCTGAAAGCTACCGTGACTCCGATATCTGTGTCCAAACAAGAAGAACGTTAAACACGGCCTGGATTAGACTGGCTTCTGCCCATTTGCTTGTGGCATTGGTGCAAAGCACCTGGAATGCCAGGCACAGCTAGTGTGGCACTGAGGAGGGAGGGTTGGACTGGTGTGAAGGCTGTTTCTATCCTCTTTCTAGTTATTTCATTGACGGTGGTTGTAGAACTCCTCCATCTTCAGAGGCCAGTCCTAAGCTACCTCCGCTTCACAAACTGACTCATTATGCAGACAACCATCTTGGTTCTCCTGAGGAACTATTTATAGAGAGATATACCCATATCTATAGGTAGCTAATTTCATGTCTTCTCTTTGGATCCAGAATTAGAAAATTGCTTAAAAACTAGAGTTGTGTGGTTTCTTAATTGAGTCTCCAGATTTCCTTCCAGCATGAGCTTTTCCAGCTTCAGTGCAGGATAGAAACAGCTTGGGCCAAATGGCCAAGCACTGAGCTAACTGTGCAGGTCTGTGCTGCTTCCTCTCTATCTAAGAGGCCATAGGATACAATTCATCTCCAACACCTTTAAAAGGTAAACTAAATGTCATCATATTTTTATTAGAATTTTGTTATCAAGAGAATGAATTTGTATGCAATCAGGTCTGTCTTAAAAACAAGTGTCGGCATGGTGGTACAGATCTGTAATCATAGCGCTGAGGCAGGAGGATGTCAAGTTCTGGGTCAGCCTGGGCTACATAAAGAGACCGCCTGCTCCAAAAACAAAACAGATAACAACAATGAAAATCAAAGTGTTTCCACCATTCTAAGATTATCCAAAATCTTAGATAAAGTCCTAGTTGCTGGAAATGATCATATCAAACAAGTTAATCCAGCCTCAGCACGACTACATGTTTTCCCCCTTCTGAGCCCTGGACTTTATATCGATACACGCTGCACACGGGTGTGCGTCTATGACATGAAAGCAGAATCTAAACTGTCTAGTGAAACAAAGGAGGCTAACAGGAGGGGTGGGGTGACAAAGGGGAGTTGGGAAGGATGGGGAAACATGCTACATAAGATGCATGCCATGGACAACGAGCACATACCAGGTAAAATATTATTTAAGGCCTGGAGAGCTGGCTCAGTCAAGTCAAGTTCTTGTGTTACAAGAATAAAGACCAGCATTTAGTCCCCAGGGCCCAAGTGGGAACAGAATAAGGCCAAGCATAGTGGCACACACTTGTAATCCCAGTACTGGAGAGACAGAGACACACCCATGAGTGTGTGTGTGTGTGTGTGTGTGTGTGTACGTGTGCTCGTGCGCACACATGTAGACCAGAGGCTAACCTTGGGTGTCACTCCTCAATGTTCTTTTTTTTTTTTCACTTTGTTTTTTGAGACAGGGTCTCAGTGGGTGCTGGGGCTCTTGGATTAGACCAGGCTGGCCGGCCAATAAAGCCCAGAGACCCATCTGCCTCCACCTCCTCAGCCCAGGGATTAGAAGCACACGTCACCACCTCCAACTTTTCACATGAGTGCTCAGGATTGAACTCAAGTCCTCACGCTGGCATTGCAGAGGCTTTTGACTCGGTTTTCTATTTCTTTTAGGGAAATGTAAAGAATGTTCTTAACCAAAAGGAGAAATGATAACATACTGCATTCAGAATCCTTATGGACACACTTGTTCGGGATGTGTTGTTAGCTCAGTTCCCCACCCCTTTCCACTCACCCCCGCCACTTTAAAGGGCCACAGCACTGACTATCCTGGCTTCTTAATTATGGGATCAGTCCAGCCATGGAGGGACACAATTCTCATGTTTAAGAAAATAGCGAGTCTGGGGTGGGGTCCAATAAGGTCTCTGGTCAAGTAATGGCCCAAATGGGTTGAATACCAACTCTTGGCCCAGAGGGAACCAATTAATGCTGATCTATTATGATGCGCAATCTCACACTCACCACCAAGGCAAATGGACATGCTTTTAACAGAGCCCTAATGGCCCTTGTTTTAGGCATCCCAGCCCAACACCCATCATAATGAGAGTCGAATGTTACAACTTGACTGACAGTCATTAAGAACCTGGATATGAGAATGGAAGTATATATGAAAAAAAAAAAGGAACCTGGATATTTCAACTACGAGAAGTCAGCTGAGTCTAGCACACACACTTCCAAGGACTCTGATTAGTACCTCCTCTTCTTGTGAGTTTTCAGAACCCAATACAATCTGAGAATAATCTGGAGCTATAGTGCAGAGAGTTAGGCCAGGTGAAGCCAGCCTCCCATAATCCGTCAGAAGTATTTGCCAAATGTTCAGTTGCAAGGTGGCAGGAAGGTGTAGTTGGAGGGATGCTCCAGGAAAAGGAGGGCTTCCTTCTTGCATGGGTTTCACTCATGCTGCTGCGTAGCCGCAATGGTTCCTATGGATGCCATCTTCCTAGGGCTGAGAGCTCCTTCCAGGCCTGGGTTTGGGCCTCCCTCCCACACAACTCCTCTAATGAGCTTCCTCCCTCCGCGTAAAAGCATCGGCATGTCAAACATGGCTGAGCTGGTTGGAATACAAGGAAGCCAGAGAAACAGATTCTAGCTGTATAGTTAGGACTTTAGTCTTTTTGTTCTAACACCTTCCCTGGCCTGGCGCCTGAGAAATGGTGCATCTTTCCCATCCTGCCATCTTTACAAGCCAGCTCATCAGAGCTCTAGTCTCTACTCTGCTGAGCACCAAGGGACCAGTT